AGTGCAACAAATGGCTTTCTCCTGGGAGCAATTAAGTAAAGTACTGTATTTAAGAGTTCTGTTTAATATGTGTAACATACATTACTGTTTTTTTTTTGACTAATGACCCCAACACTTCACAACAAAGACAGGAAAACATCACAAACATTTGACCACACAGTCTGCAGTTAATGGTCTTTGATATTACATTACATATTATTTTGAGAAAATAATAAGAATAAGAAATATTGGTAATGGCATCAGAGTTGCTAAACTCTTATAAATTCCTGTTCATTATTATCAGACTGTCCTAAAAACTCACTGAAAAGCCTTTGATCCAAAACACCTGAGAGAGTACTGACAGGGACATAGCTCTCCTGTACTGGCTTCACTTCACTGGATCCTGTTAAATTTAAAGTCCTTGTCCTCACACACACAAGGTCTTGAATAATCAGGCACCATGTTTTCTTAAAGACCTCATAGTACCGTATAAGCCCAATAGAGCACTCTGCTCTCAGTCTGATGGTTTACTAGGGCTTCTTGAGATATTTCAAAGTAAAAATGTAGAGTCTTCACCTTTCAGGACACTCTTCTGTGGAACCAGCTCCCAGTTTGAATCCAGGAGATAGACACCCTCTCCTTTTTAGATTAGATTTAAACGTTCCTTTTTGACAAAGCATAGTAGTTTATATATATATATATAGTGACTGTTTGTTGGGTCAGGTGAACATGAAATCTCTCTTAGTTATGCCCCAGAAAGTTGATTCTGTTCATCTGGACTTGGGGAGAAACGTTTCATCACTCATCTACATGACGTCTTCAGGGATCAAGAAACAGACCACAGGCCACTGTTCTGCTGCTAGTTTCAGTCATTGTGCAAATGCATTGTTTACAAAGGTTGATTAAACCTGCAGTCAGCTGAGACTGAAGAAGTCAGTTGGATGAATGACGAAACGTTTCTCCCACTGAAAACGCTACGTCCAGATAAAGAGAATCAACTTTTGGGGATTTCCTTACCTGGATATTTATATTCCACTTTGCATTTCATTAGTTATTACTGATTTCTGGCTCTCTTCCACAGCATGTCTGTTCTTCTGTCAGGAAGGGCAGTGGCTCTCCCTCCATGAGCCCAGTTCTGCCAGAGGTTATCGTCTTGTGTTTGCTCATATGAGATCATCTGCTCATTGGGTTTATTAGGGTCTCTACCTTAAACTTTAAAGCCCTTGAGGCCTTATATTGAATTGTATTAACTCACATTAAGCATCACAATCTAAAGATAAAATGTTTTTCCAGGAACATTTCATGTTTCCCATTTGAGCATCACTATCATTGGCTATACCATCATTCCAATAGCAAAACTGCCATTTTCATTCTGTGATTTTCAGTGAAAAAGTATTTGCCCCTTCCTTCTGTTAGGATCTGCCCAGCTGACTTTGCAATCCGTTGCAGCGTGAAAGAGAGACGATTGAGAAGTATATTCATGAAAAGTATATTCAGGCCCACCTCATCTCTAGTGGGCGTAGGGTTGTTCTTTGTGGACAAAAAGGATAGGACTCTCAGGCCATTTATGGACTTCCTTAGATCACTGTAAAAAAAAAAGAAAGAAAGAAAGAAAAGAAATACCCACTGCCAGGAAACAGTTCTGCTTTCAAGCCCCTCCATCTTTACAAAGTTGACCTCAGTACCATTTAGTCAGAAGGGGACAAGTGGAATTCAACACACCACTGGACTACTTTGAACACCTGGTGGTGCTTGTTGGGCTTATGAAACACTCCCCCACCATGTTTCATGTCCTAGTAGCTGATGTCCTCGGACACTTTCTGAACATCTTTGTATTCAGCATGCTGCAGCAGTTAACTGAGATCCGTCTCTATGTGTTTCACACACCCTCAGTAACTTTTCTAAGTTGTGTTTTCAGAGGACTTAGAGGGGGTCGAGCAACATTTTGTAATATGGACTAACCGTAGGAACTTGACTTATGTGCAGAACACCAAAGGCAGAATTCAGGCATGTTGGTCTCTGCTCTTTGGTTGTTCAGCTGCTCCGTTTCTTATCATCCAGGGTCAAGGAATATAAAGCCTGATGCCCCTTCCCATGAGTTTTCACCTGATAGAGATGATCTTAAGCCAGAGAGCGTTCTTGCATGCTCATACACAGTGGGGAGGATAATCCTGGGAGTTTAAGCTGGATCTTGTCACAGGCCTTCTTCCATAGATTCTCTAAATCAGGACATTTCATAGTTCCTTCTCTAAATTATCAAACTCCTGCCACTGAAACGTTTAATCTCCATCTTGAACATGTTTTCAGGCTCAATGGCATTCCTTTGGAGATTGTGTCAGACCGACAACCCGCTTCATATCCCAGTCATGGAAGGTTTTCCATTCACCTCTCGGAGCCAACCTGAGTTCCGGATTTGCGGACAAACAGAAAGATTAAACCAAGAGTGGAAGGCAGACCTCCGCTGTGTTGGCTCAAGTAATGGACACAGTCTGTTTGACCTGCTCCCCTCAGGCAGGAGGCTCCGGTCCATTCGCACCAGAACCTCTCGCCATAAGAACAGTTTCTTCCCCTCTGCTGTTGGACACATGAACAATAACCGTACGACTGTTCCCACCACTAACACATGACCCTACGCTGTGTCACTGCATCATTCCATGTTTGGCACTGATCACCACCTGCACTCATGTATATATCATGTATATATCTATCCACTTAGCACTTTTAATTCTTATTCTTATTTTTATATTTCTATGACAGTATGTTTGCACTGAAGCACTGCAGCAATTTCCTAATGTTGTAAACCTGCTCAACATTTGGCAATAAAACCCTTTCTGATTCTGATTCGGATGGATTGAATGTGTGCATAAGCCACTTACCTCATCTGCAACAGGTCTCTCTCCATTCAAAGTGCTCCTAGGTTACAAGCCTCGCATGTTTGTGGGCACAGACAAGAGCCCGCCTTCTCCACACAAATGAACAGAAAGGACGCCTCGCTGGCCTCCCTGCTACTCCCAAGGTGAGAGAAGGGTGGTTCTCCTGAAATCTCTTTCTAGGACTCTCCGCTGTAAAACTAAAATTTCTCCAGGATACACTGAACTTTTCACATGTCGCAGTTAAACCGTGTTTCTTCCAGTCCACTGCGCTATCCAACCAACTGCGTACCTCCCGCCAGCTTGTATTCAACTGCAGCCTGCACACAGTGTTTGATGGATTGTGGATGTCTGGCACCGGGAGCATCAGTAGTTGATCGGGAGGAGTATGGTCCTGTTTAAAACTGCAATCCAATCAATTTTACACTCTGCTTATACATGAATACCCTCCAGTGTGGCTGAATTAAAATACTTCTGAAAAGAAGAACGGGGCAAACTTTCTCCACAGCGCTGTGAAAGACTGAATGCAAGATATTGCTAAAGATGCTGCTAAGGGTGGTAAAGCAGTTATTAGGTTTAGGGGGCAAATACTTTTTCACACAGGGCCAGGGAAGCTTGGATGGATTTTTCCCTTAAATAAAAGAATTATTTAAAAACTGAAAGTTGTCTCCTTTGGTTATCTTTGTCTAATATTTACAATTTCTTAATGATCTGAAACATGTAAGTGTGACAAATAAGCAAAAAAGTAACCAGGTAAAGAGCAAATACATTTTACAGCAGTGTAGAGCAAAGGCCGTTACAACCTAATCATGTTGTGAAAGCGACACGAAATTCATAATTTTCAGGATATGAACTTGTCATGTACAAACCGAGCATGTTTTTGTGAAAATTATCTCCTCAAAGAAAGCACTGTGAAGAAAATGAAGTCAATATGAAGCCATAATGAGCTGGTACTGATGTTTCCAAACGAGAAGGAATCAGTTCATCCAAAACTCACAAGAAGGAAACAACAGGGAGAATTTCAAGGTTTGCTTCAGGAATTGAAGCTGTATCATGGCCACTTTCTTACATATCTTAGGATCTTACTGGGGCTGTTGCAGCTTTTTAGCTACCGAGTTTTGCCTCTGAGGAGGCAGTGAAATCACTTCAGACACAGAGCAGCATCTAGCTACTTGTCTCAGGTAAAATTGTATTATTCTACAATTTGTATATTCAGTACTGGTGTGCACGTTGAGTCATGTGTGCACTTGCTCAGATCTGTTGATTAGGATCAGAAAAAATGATCAGACTACATGGTCAGTGTCGACGGCTGCTCAGGTGACGCTATTTAGTTGACTCAAAATATTTTTAATGCACACAGATGTTACACATTTGGTGTGTAAATGCCTGAACAATAGGTTTTATGATGTGCAGATGGGTTTCTTTATTCTCAGCATCTAGATCTCCTGCAAGGTGGCATACATTGTTGTGGTTGTATTTGTATTCAGTGTATTCAGTGGTTGTGTTTTCTTCATCAACAAAGGCTAGGGTGGCTGTGGGGTCCTGTGACTGTCTTACTGAATTCAAAATGTTCTGTCTACCTTCCTAGGTTGTAGTCAAAATCCTCGGCTGAAACACAAAACTGAGTGATGAAAACAGTCAAGACAAATAATTTTATGGAATGGAATCAGTTTTCAGGCCCCTCCTCTGTAGAACCAGCTTCCAGTTTGGATTAAGATTAGGCTTCAAACTTTCCTTTTTGCAAAAGCATATAGTTAGGGCTGCATCGGGTGACCCTGAATCCTCCCTTAGTTATGCTGCAATAGGTGTAGGCTGCTGGGGGATTCCCATCATGCATTGAGCATTTCCTGTCACCTTTCTCACTGAACATGTGTTAACAGACCTCTCTGCATTGAATCATATCTGTTATTAGCCTCTGTCTCTCTTCCACAGCATGTCTTTATCCTGTCTTCCTTCTCTCACCCCAACCAATCACAGCAGATGGCCCCGCCCCTCCCTGAGCCTGGTTCTGCTGGAGGTTTCTTCCTGTTAAAAGGGAGTTTTTCCTTCCCACTGTCGCCAAAGTGCTGCTCATAGGGGGTCATATGATTGTTGGGTTTTTCTCTGCATGTATTATTGTAGGGTCTACCTTACAACATCAAGCACCTTGAGGTGACTGTTGTTGTGATTTGGTGCCATATAAATAAAACTGAACTGAATTGAATTGAATTAAATTGGAGGAATAATTAAACACAGAGCTTGTTTGCCACAGTTTGTCCAATAGCCTGCCTACATCTTCATGCCTATGTGGCAATTCTTTTTCCAGATCCATAAAGTTTTGCATTGGATTTTGACACCTCAAAATTATATTCCCATCTGGACTGACTGGGAAAAGCTTCACATCATGATTATGAGCTATTTTTATCCTCCTTATCAAGACTTGGTTTGGTGCTCATGACATTGGAAAAAAGGTCATCATCATAATTATCTGTGATAGAAAATGTAAATTCTGGAATTTTACAATGAATTTTATTCCACATATTCACATTTATATTAGCACTATCACGTTTAGTGTTGCTCAAACTGCAAATCTACGACATCACTGGTCAGTTACAGTTATTGTCTTAGAACAAATAATTTGATGTTGCTAGTTGAGCCATGTGCTTCAAAAGTCAAGATTCAAAACCAATGAACCATCATATGAATTAGACTTGTTGCCTCACAGCAACAAAATAGTCTTTTGTGTGCGGTCCACGGTGAGAGTTCACTGTGGACTGCACTCTTTCTCCACTGATGTCTTACCGTCAGAGCGGTGGATGCAGGTATGCTGGTTGTCACTGAGGAAGAAGCCCTCTGTGCACATACACTCATAGCTCCCCATGGTGTTAACACACACTTGCTGGCATCCACCGTTGTTGTCCAGACACTCATCCACATCTGTTTGGATGGAGAGATACAGAGAGAGAGAGACATAAAGGGAAGTGAGCAAGATAAAGTCGGCCACGGCAGCGTGCTGGAATAACAGCCCATTAGACTTCATAAATAAACTTGTGTCAGTGAGAGTTTATGTGCCGGGAAATGTCTGATGAGACGGATGACACCAGAGTCAGGAATGCGAGGGCCACACGCACACGTGCACACACAGACTGGGAGAAAGGGCAGGCACGCTGTCCTAAGGGGCCGACCCTGGCACAGCGGGCGGCCGAACCAAACTTCAGGCACTGTAAAAGGGGGTGACAGGGGTGTGTTGGTGTGAGTGTCTGCATTGTGTCGTTGCGTCTATATGTGTGTTAGTGCACACTGGTGGTGCACGAGTGTGTTTATAGGGCCCGACTGTGCTGCTGAAAGGCCAGTAAATTTCCAATGGGGCATGTTGATGGGCCTGAAGTGAACTGGAAACATGTAACACCCTTGACTGACTTTAAGAGGGATCAAACAGGGCCACCCCTGTGTGTGTGTGTGTGTGTGTGTGTGTGTGTGTGTGAGAGAGAGAGAGAAAGAGACTTTGCATTGTGTTTAGTCTGAGGTGGTGAAGTTGACGTAACAGACAGTGCAGACAGGTTACACAAACACAGGCAGAAGGAAGGACAGACAGACGAGAGGCGATGTCATACGTGCTGGGAGACTGAGGGGATCAAACATGGAGCTTTTCTTTCTGTTATAATTAGTGCTGTCAGTGGCAGTGCTGTTGCCCCGTGCGCGGGGCTGCACGGCGCTAACGCGTTAATGAGCTAACTGCGCTAATGCGTTGACGCTGTTAATGTGGTTATGGCGTTAACGTCATTTTAATGAGATTAACGCTGACAGCACTAATTATAATTTGTCAAATATTTTCAGTGGTTGACAGGTCTGGACTTTAGGTAAGCTAAATTAGACTGTTATTAGTGAACCTTGCTTTAAATATACATATAGGAGCCACTTGTCAATATGTGACACTAATTCGATTGATCACAGTCAGCTGAGACTTCTGGTGCGTTTTGTTTGGTAATTTTCGTCCTTTCCGCATCTCTTCTGTTCTGCATGTCACTGCAGCTGGATGCTGGCTCTTTTTCTTCTGTAGGAGGACCCAAGGTTCAGTTTAGCCAGTCGATCGGCTTTCACTCTCTCTCTCTCACTGCAGTGATGCTGCCGCAATGAATTTAATACCTGGGTTTACATTTCAACACCATCTTTTCCTGGGAAACATCCAGGAGCAGGCAGGGAGGCATCCAGATAAAGACTGGCCTCTGATTGGCCTTTCCAGGTCTGCTCCGGTTCCCCGTGTGCCCTTATGCCCCTTCTACCACCTCACCTAAGGGGGATAAGCAGGGAAATGATACACACCTCCATTTACAAGGCTCTTTGTTTGAAAGGATTATGTGTAATGGGTTGGATCTGGATTCTGTCTCCTTCCTCTAGTGTTCTGGTCTCTGCTGGCCTAATCCCCGCTAAGGACATAAAAAGAGCCATTCTAATTCACTTCAAATCAATTTTCCATTCCTCAATAAGATTTCAGGATGTCTGCTATGAACCCATCAACCCTTCAGCAAAGGCTGTGGAAACTTAAATATTTCAGCACATGTGCCGATGTTTTGTAGTTTTTCATCAAAATGGTGAGGTGGCTCAATGAGGGTTCTTTAAACTGCAGAGAGTTTCTGCTTTAGCTGAAGCATTTCTCCAGACAAGGAAAAAAATGTATTATTATAAAATTATTATAAATGCAGGTGCACACAATGGACAGGCTGCCAAAAAATGTGAGAGTGGATCTACCATCTAGCCCTCCCAAGGCTCTTTCATTTGATCTGCATCTTCTGTCAGACAATGCAATCGCTGGGTTAATCATTATTCCCAGAGGAGATGTTTTTTAGAGCCTTCCTTCCCCTGTGACTTGCAGCCAGAGCGATAAAAACCACCATTAAAACTCTGCCTCACGCAGGGCTTTGGACTATAACTAGAGTAGCATTCGCTACAAAGAAAACCATAAAAGCAAAAATTGTAAGTTAAGCAACAGTCAATTGGACAACAGATCTTACAGCAAGGATCTGATCCAATGGTGGTTTTCATTTCAGAGTGTGGGTGCAGCCCTGTTTGGAGCTGTCACAGGAACAATCCAGTGGAGGAGGGAGGGGGTGACCCTGAGGGAGAGATTTACAGTACGCTCCTAAACGTTACCCGATATCACTATCTTTCTATCTGTGTCTCTATCTTCTCACCTTCTCCACTTTTGTCCTGTCCAGACAGGCCACAGCAACTGCTGGAGGAGGGGTGTAGAAGGAAAGAAAGAAGCATGCGTTTGATTTGCAGTTCAAGTCCACCCTCTTCCAACACCCTGTTTGTGCTTTAATGTGAAAGGTTTCTTCCTTGATGAAGCTCAACTACCCAAACTCCTTGAAAGCACATTACACAGATTTTTTTCTGATATGGGGGAAATTTCATACACTCAAAAATGTGACTTCTGTGTGATTACTTCAAGTAATAAAAGGAAACTGCTCCTGGACATCATCACATAGGCCCAGTTCCACTCCTAAGCAAGGATCGTTTCTACTACAACTGCAGTTTGATGATTTTTTAGCCCAGCTTGTCACTAATTTTTATACCTCAAATATCAGCATATTTAAAATAAAAACGAGCGCTAACATGCTAATCATTAGCCATCTCGAATTGGGATTAGCATGCTAACGACGGCTAATCAGCACTAAAAAGCGAGGAATCAATGCGAATTTGGGATTTAGCGCATGTTCTATATCCAAGAAACTAAGAACAAACGACGGCGTAATACAGTTACTGAATCTAAAAGGAAAAGGAGCATATATTTATGATTGTAGCGTGTCCGAGTGTGTGTGAACTTCCTGTTTGTTTATGTTAAGACCGCTTTCTATGTTTCATTGTGATCTATCTATTCGCCTTTACACTCATGAATTTAACTAAATCATTATTAATAGTTATAAGCTAATAGTATCAGTCTTAAGATCCATTTTGTCCTTTAGTGGTCTCGACGCCTCTGATAGTGCTCTCAACAGAATGTCTCCATTGGATCTCCTAGTAGAGATAACCTCGATTCTCTCTCTGTAGATTAATATGAAGAGTATACACGAAGCTAATGGACGAGAAATCAGGGCGGGCCTTCTCTAGGTGCAATAATTGAGGCAGCCATCCAGCAAAACAGATGTGTATGAGAAACTCCTTCCCATAACAGACTCTACCGCTCTCACGCATTTTCTAAAGTCTCACAACTTGATTGTCACAGCTCAGGCGTGTAAAAGCTTCCATATTTAAAGACTGGTATAAAATGTTTTGCCTCTATGGGAAATGAGGCGAAATTCCTCTGCGTGCGGAATAGAATTATTCTTCTAAATTTTAAAATATTGCTGTTGAATAAAGTATCATAGTTAGGTGGCTCGAGGCAGAGGAGCTTGTAGCTAGGGATCCCTGGACTGTGTCGTATGAGGCATGACTGTAGGAGACAATATCCTCCATAGATCCTATATCAAAGCTGTGATGGAGATCTACTCTAAGTCTGGGTATGTGGGTGACTTCACATCATTCGATGGCTTTGTGGGGAGAGTTGGGGAATGTATATGATATTGATCAGTAGGTTATCTGACGTACAATAGAATGGACTTGCTAGTTTGATAGGTAAAGCGTGAAGTACTGACCTTACTCCCATTTGCAGTCACATTAGGTGATGTTTCTCTCATAAAGATAATGTTGACAAATGAAGTGAAATATCATATGGAGTGTTATCTACACGCATCGGTGCGTTGGGAAGAAACACTTTCTTTTGGACAATGGAAAATATATCAGAAACTAGACTGAGTATAAGCTTGCTCAGAAGTCAAGTTCACCCGATCAACACATGCGAGTAGCTTGACACGGCTTGGCTAGATGAATGGGCCAAACTCTACATGTAGAAAACCGCTGCGACACGCAGGGACGGAATTCTCTACGACTATGCTGACGCACCCAACGGGTTTGAGTAGGCCATTCCGGATTAATCCTGCCCAGGGTAACCCTCCTGCTACGCGCCAACTTTGGTCCCCACATGTCATATACTGACAGTGAAAATAGAAGCAACAGCGATTTGGCTTGAAGGCAATTTAACCACAGTCCATTTATCGGATATGCACACTCTAACTAGTTATAAAAACTCCGATTTTCGCACTGACCGCATCAGGACACTCTTGCTCAGACTTAACCCTCCGCCTACCCCACTCCTGCTTTACAGGTGAAAATAGAGCAACAGGACCGCTGAGTCTTTGACTTTATTTATTTTCTGCTGTGTTTTACTTGCATCTATTTGAAAGACTGAGTGTAAACACAAAAAATATTTTATTTTATGTGCTGGAATGTGCAGAAAATAGGTTTAAATGTTAAACTAATTTCTTCCAGTCAGAGAATGTTGCAGATAATTTAATTTTTGCTTGATGCATAAAGTTAAAAGATTAAAACTAATAAAACAAGTTTTAAAAAGAGACTTTTCCATTTGATTACATTTTGTATGATGGATTATGCAGAAAAAGTAGAATTGGGCTGAAAGATCTATCGCTTTATCACCTTTCAGGTTGTAAATCGTGTTTTTAAAAAGTAACTAAGTAACTAAGTAATTAATTACTTTTGAAAATAAGTAATCAGTAAAGTAACGGGATTACTTTTTTGGGGAAGTAATCAGTAATTAGTTACTGATTACTTTTTTCAAGTAACTTGACCAACACTGGCTGACGACCAGCTCTATCAATTGTAAATATTAAATGTTTATGCAGTTAAATGCAGCACTTTCATTCAACTAACTGATTTCCCAGACAGTGCTGGTGCAGCCTGCACTTGTTTGAAACAGGACTTCCCCTCTCCATCATCATCAGGCTTCCTTGCTAACACGCTAAAGGTTTCTTCACACTACAGAACTTTACACCTTTCCAAGTTTTCATTGTTTTTCTCCCCTCATTGTCTTGTTATTTAAC